CACTTCCTAACCGCCTGCCCATGGTAGACATTGCTAATCGATCACTCATTCATGATTGAACACATTTATTGGATGCCCTCCATGTTCCACATGTTATGTTAGGAATACAGCAGGAAACCAGACAGACTTCTTTTGCTACCCTTATGGACCTCCAAGGGGAAGACAGACATTAAACAAATAATTACGTGCCTGAAGAGTGTTTTAAAAAGGCAGAATATGGGGGCAGACAAGGGCATCACACACCTGGAGGTAACCTGGAGTTGGGGGCAGGGTCAGGAAAGGCCTCCCTGAGGAAGTGATGTTTAAGCTGAGGTCTAGATGATAAGGAAACTGAGTCTTTGCGAGGGTGAAAAAGGAACTGTTACATGCTAGGATAAAAGACTGGCATGAGTTCAGGGCATGTTTCATGGCTAAATGAGGGGGCATGGATCATAAATGGGGGGTAGGTTTCTGGAAGGAAACAGAGGTTGATACAGCCAGGCCTTGAAAAAGAATCGGTTGATAGGAGGAGAGGGTTGGAACAGCCTGGGCAGAGGTCACATTTATTGTTTATCCTCCCCCTTCCTAGGAATTATTCTCTCACCTGCTGTCATTAAAAAGAAAAAAGAAAAAAGCTATAAATTATTGACTATCTACTACGGGGTGGCAATTCTCACGAATTCTCGCATCTTCCTTGAGAGATAAGTATTATTTTCCCAGTTTTACGGATAAAAAAGGCTTGGGAGGACTAGAGACACTTGCTAAAGTTGGTCACCAAGTAGGCAGCAGGGCTAGGATTTGAGCAGCTGCACTTTCCACAACTCGTCACTGCCATAAAACCTCAAGATGGCTTGCTCTAAAGCAGTCAAGTAAAACTTTGGGGAGCAATCAAAGAGCGTTGACAGAGGAACTGGAAATACTCCGGGAGTTGGTGAAGCGGGGGCGGGGAGGGGGAGGAAAGTGTCGGCAGAGAAGCCGCAGGTGAGTGGACACCGTTAGGCAGAGGAGTGCGCGGCCGAAACCAAGAGGTGGCGGGTGGTGGGGAGGATGGCGAGGCGTCCTAAGTGACTGAGAGGGCATCCCTGGACTGCTCCAGGACTGCACTGCGGGGAGGTGCCCTGCTCTAACCACTACCCGGCCCGGCCCGGTTAATCATTTCCTGACCTTCCTTCCTCCTCTCGCCCAGCCCGCAGGATTGCCACATCAGCCTCCCCCTCCCCCTACTCGCCTCCTGGCCCTGTTGCTCCTTCGCCGGGTTTTACAAGGAGCCTCAACTTTGAGGCAATGTTCGTAATAGCCCGGGACGTCCTCAAGGCCGTGCCCCGGAGAGATAGCAGGCTCGCTAGGGTGTAACGCGTGCCCTACCGGCCGCTGGAGGCTTGCCCTATCCTCTTTTCTACGAAGGGGTCAGAGAGGCGGGGATCCAATCCCGGCACGGATTAACCAATTACAGACTCGGTTTCCCCTGCGGTAAAAAGGAGGATGGTTAGAGCAGCTGGCGGTGTGGTGCGAGGTTTAAATGAGGTACTGTATGTCAAGTGCCTGGTTAGGAGACAGCAGCAGGTGTTTAACAAATGTTAGATCCCTTCCCTTTTTATCACCTGGTAACCGGGACCGCCCCGCTCAGCACACCCAGGTTAGTTACCTCATTTAAACTTACACCAGAGGGTGAGGTATGAATGTCCGACCACGTGCTCGAGGTAATGCAGCTGGTGAGTCACAGTGACTGGGTTTGATCCCAGATTCACGATCGCCCCCGCACTCAGCACCCAGGTGGCTGGCAAAGGCCACGTGTTCAGAACCTAGAACCCAGTCAGTATCGTACCTGCCGCAGGGAGCAGACCACTAAACCAGTACTGCTCTGGGACCTATGCATCCCGCTGGGCCACCGGGGGCCAGGCCCTTAACCTCTCTGAGCTTGTGGCTTCGTGTGTAAAATGGGCGCTGTCTGTCTGCCCGGGTGGTTTTTATTTTCTTCTTCACACTTTCTTGTGTGGCCAGATTTTCTACCGCAGTGTAGTCCGGCCACCACACACTACGCAGAGTCAGTCTTCTCCGACTGTGAGCGCTCGCCGGGCCGGGGTAAAAGCAGCGGAACGGCCCGGCGTGCCCCGGCTTGGCGCCCCACCCTACCCGGGGCCGGGGGAAGCCGCGGCTGCCGGGGGCAGCGGAGTTGGGAAAGTCACTTCCGAGCGCTGTCCGACTCTGAGCCACCAGCCTGCGAGCGCAGGGACCCCACCCCGCGGGAGAGGACGGGGGCGGGGCCGGGCCTGTAGGCGGGGCCTGCCCAGGGGAGGGGAGGGGCCGGCCTGGGAAGACGGAAGCCTCCAGCCTAGGGGTGGCGGCAGAACCCGGATCCCGGAGCACCACGTTTTCCGGAGCCGGGCTTCGGGAGACGGCGGCCGGGAAAACCCGGCGCCCGGAAGCTTTTGCTTTCTTTGACGCAAGGGCTCGGGACGCAGCCGCCGTCGGCCGAGCGCCCGGCGAGGAGCGACCCCAGGCAGAGCCTTCGGAGTCCCTCCTCCGCCCCCTCCCCACCCCCCCCCCCACCCCCCCCCCCGTCACATTCTACTTCCTCCCCTGGATTTTTTTTTCTTCCTATGTGCTCAGTGGTGTGTGCCCTTCCCCCCTTCCCCCCATTAGAATGTAATATCCCT